CGGATTTATTAAGCTAAACACCCGAAAATCTGGCTGCCTCCAGGTTACTTCACACTGCTGCAGCCTACCTCGCTCTTCACTATAGCAATTATTCTGATAACGTGTAATATTTATCAACACACTGCTAGTATTTAACATAAAATATATATCTTCTTTTTTAGTGTTAAACAAATCATATCTCCGCTTTGCTGTATGATCCCTACGAATTTAACACTTCATAATAATAATAATAATAATAATAATAATAATAATAATAATAATGATAATAATTACAGAATGCCTTCCCGTGGATGAAAAGTTTTCCTGTTATCTGTGTTCCTAGACTTCTCTAGTGTTCTCTCTCTCTCTCTCTCTCTCCTCCACCAACACCTCAATGCTGCCTCGCCATTATGTACATTTAGGTATGTAATGACTGTATTGTCATATACATTGATGTATGGATGTAGTCAAATGTATTGGGTCATCTTATTTCTTCCGTTCCATCTATTTTGCTGTCCCCTTTATATTTCTCTCGGCCCCACTCTGCGTTAATATTAATAAAAATTCTATTTCTCCTGTGCATAGACTAGATCATCCAGAGAGATAGAATTCCCAAGTGATAGTAACTGCAGCCCTGCTGGAAGGAAACCTTGAAGCTGCCCTAGCTCATGAACCTTTAATGGAATACTTGAAGATATCCTCGTCGCCTTACTGAAGTCTCCCAGCTCAGACTGACAATTCAACACAGTGTAATATGCAAGTACAGTTATAGAGGCTAAAACGTTGTGTAGTTTTAAAAATAGGTTAGACAAATACATGAGTGGGTGTGGGTGGGTGTGAGTTGGACCTGATTAGCTGTGCTACTAGGTCAGTTGCCGTGTTCTTTCCTTAAGTGAATGTGACCTGCTCTGACTAGGTTGGGGCATTGGCTTAAGCCGGTAGGAGACTTGGACCTGCCTCGCATGGGCCAGTAGGCCTGCTGCAGTTCCTTCTTTCTTATGTTTTTATATGCTGTGTGATGGAATATGACAGGGAAACACAGCAAGCTTGTGTTCCCAATGTGTAACTATCATATAGAATTGGATAGCAGCACACTGCTGATGTATCCAATTTTGCTAAATGAAAAATCTGCCTCTCTCCACTTCATGGCTTCCCTCCCTCCCACATCATGGCTTCGCTCCCTCCCTCCACCTCGTCACTACCCTCCCCTCTACCTCATGGCTTCCCTCCCTCCACCTCACCGCCCACGTTTATTGATCCATGGTTGTAAATATTGATGTTTGTCGTCTACCTGCTGCTGCCCTTACTAGCGCGTGGTGGTAAGGGCCACAGGAGCCCCACCCTCCTGGTGAGGAGCCACCGGGGTCCCACCCTCCCAAGTGAGGGCCACAGGGGGTAAGTCCACCTTCCCTCGTGATATGTGGGGCAACAAGGATGTTTGGAAATAATTTTTCAGTCTGAGGGTGGTGCACGAAAGGAACGACCTGGATAAGGTGTCGCAATAGGCAGACTCAAGACACACTTTCAAGAATAGGTATGGTAGGGTGCAAGAGCCAATAATGCCAGTGACTGTACTGTGACTCGAACCCCGCAAACACAGCTCTGCGAGTACACGTCCACATCAGCGAAAAAGCTGGGCCAGGAGCTGAGACTCGACCCCTGCAACCCTATATAGTTGAGTATATAGACGAGTACTCATTTACACACACACACACACACACACACACACACACACACACACACACACACCACACACACACACACACACACACACACACACACACACACAGTCAGGAAGTGGAACAATCTGGAGAGTGATGTAGTGGAGGTAGGATCCATATATAGCTTTAAGAAGAGGTACGATAAAGCTCTTAGAGCAGGGTGAGAGTGAACTTAGTAGCGACCAGAGAAGACGAGGGGCCAGGAGCTATTAATCGACCCCTGCAACCACAAATAGGTGAGTACACAGTCACCTCCCTTCACTCTGAGGACAGTACAAAGAAAGTTTCTCTGTTCTTTGCCCGGAAACCCTGAGGCCATGACCACCCTCTTCCCTGGGGCGAGCGTGAGAGACAGACATCAGTAGTAGCCCTATTTATATCTTTATTTACTACAAGTACATGGTATACAGGCCTAGCTGACATCAATGACATACTCCTATATAGAAAGCCCCTTGTTATGCTGAGCATTTCGGGCAAATTAGGTCAGTTTTGTCCCAGGATGCGACCCACACCAGTCGACTAACACCCAGGTACCCATTTTAAACTGATGGGTGAACAGGGACAGGGACAGCAGGTGTCTTCTGGAAACACGTCCCTAATGTTTTCCAGCAGTGCGTGAGCCGAGTGCGCTAGCGATGGAGCTACGGGATACCTTAACGGCAGAATCCGTATTAATTAACTGCACTAGTAGCAGATGTATTAACTACACCAACAATATTTACTACACTAGCAGCAGCTGCATGAACTACTACGCAGGACCATCACTTACTGAAACCAAAATACGAACGACCCCCACAGCAGCAGGAACCACATTAACCTCTGTAACATTGCTAAGATCAACATCAACAAGGTTAACTGCGTGATGAGGTGTGTTAGCAACAGTGGAGAGGAACACACAGGAAGTCCTATTAGCAACATCCTCTCAATGACTGCAATGTCATTAACACACATACGCAAATAAAGCTGAAGAGAACGCAAACTGTCGTCCTGCGCCAGACAGTCTCACCTATTCATACGCTCAGTCGCTTCCTCTCTTCTGTTCATACCCTCAGTCGCTTCCTCTCTTCTGTTCATACGTTCAGTCGCTTCCTCTCTTCTCTTGTTCATACGCTCAGCGGCTTCCCATCAGATACCAACAATTATAAAGTATATCATGGTTTAACAAGGAAAGAAAAATAATTCTAACCAGGACCCCAGGAAATAAGTCACTTTGACTTTCTTGGGTTATCCTAGGTAATCTACACGTGCTGCTATATATAATTTATGTAACTGTATTTGTGTACCTGTATCTGAATAAATTTACTAGACCGTTCAAAACACAGAAGACAACACAGGCAACAACGACTCTCTTCAAACACAATGTAAACTCTGTGATAAATGGTTTAGAAAAGCGACAAGTTGAAGAATGAGATATTTGTGCAATATTTTGAAATCTTTATTCAGGAAACTCAATGTTGCACAATGTAAACTACATGGGCGACTTGATTCACATGCGCTACTCCCTCTTGATCACCAATTATAAACAAACTGCTTACCTAAAGCTTATTCTTTGGATAAACATTGAAAATAAGTTGGGCAAATATTTTTGTTAGTGAGTTTGGGTTTCTGCAAGACTTGCCTAGTATGGGCCAGTAGGCCTGCTTCAGTTCCTCCTTATGTACCTAACATTTTTAAATAAATTACTTATAAGTACCCGCTTTATTACACCTCTTAAAAGCTACTGAATTCTATTCTCAGAATTAACAATTGACAGGTACACAGAACTTCATATCCAAACATATATAATAAACAATTAAATAACGTTACACATCTCCCAAGGTAACACTGACCATGAGGTTAGGAAAAGGACGTTAAGCGCAATAATGCAACATTTTTACTGTGGCAACGTTTCGCTCTCCAGGAGCTCTGTCAAGCCGTTACAAACTTCATTATATGACACTAACGCTATAGGGAGATTCAGAAGTACAGCTGAAGAACAAAAACAAATGATGGAGCAAAAACTCGTACTGAGAAGGAACAAAAATCCAATTATGGGACAAAAAAATCCAATTATGGAACAAAAAAATAAATTATGAAAAAAAAATCCAAATATGGAACAAAAAATCCAATTATGGAACAAAAGTAGTGAAGAAATAAAATAAAGCAAAAGAACAAATAATAAGTACAGTGATGGAAAAAGAATATTGAAGGAACAAAAAACAAGCACAGTGATGGAACAAAAAAACGAGCACGATGGAGCAAAAAACAAGCACAGTGATGGAACAAAAACAAGCACAGTCATGGAATAAAAACAAGCATAGTATGGAACAAAAAAACTAGTGACGATATGAAGGGGAAGCGCTAAACCCCCACGGATATTACACAGCGCCTGAGGAAGGGAAGGTAATCAGGTTTGATGCGAGGAAATGGAGATGGGGCAGAGTTATGATTACCTGGATCAAGAGCCCTTCACCAGCATCAAGGTAGCCATCTTAGTAGACGGTCGAGCAGTGAAGCTGTCGAACAATTAGTAAAACTGTCGAACAATTAGTAAAACTGTCGAACAATTAGTAAAACTGTCGAACAATCAGTGAAGCTGTAGAACAAAAAGTGAAGCTGTCGAACAACTAGTTAACCTGTCGAACAACCAGTGAAGCTGTCGAACAGTGAAGTTGTCGAACCAGTAAAGCTGTCGAACCAGTAAAGCTGTCTAACAATCAGTGAAGCTGTCGAACCAGTAAAGCTGTAGAACAACCAGTAAAGCTGTCGAACAATCAGTGAAGCTGTCGAACAATCAGTGAAGCTGTCGAACAATCAGTGAAGTTGTCGAATTAAAGTACTGGATCTTCCTTTAGATATACTGGATTTTTCTCAACATGTACTGGATCTTCGTAAACCTGTACTGGGTCTCCTCAACCTGTACTGGATCTTCCTGAACATGTAAGGCTGGAGAGTTATTATAGTCCTGGATCTTCCTGAACCAGCAGTGGATCTTCCTGAACCAGCACTGGATCTTCTTGAACCAGCACTGGATCTTTCTGAACCAGCACTGAATCTCCTGAACCAGCACTGGATCTTCCTGAACCAATACTGGATCTTGTGAACCAGTACTGAATCTTCCTGAACCAGTACTGGATCTTGTGAACCAGTACTGGATCTTCCTGAACCAGCACTGGATCTTCCTGAACCAATACTGAATCTTGTGAACCAGCACTGGATCTTCCTGAACCAATACTGGATCTTGTGAACCAGTACTGGATCTTCCTGAACCAGTACTGGGAAGAATCGGGGGCAGGGAAATGCCCTGAAGGTGGTTCTTACCTTTAGGATGTTGGGTAAGCAGGTAGACGGAGTTAGCTGGTGTCTTTATCCTTATCCTAACACACACACGGTAAACACTCGTCAAAGGTTTTTAATTCCATGACATACTATCCAGTTGAGGCTTATTTTTCCTGCTTGTCGTTGCAGATCAGGATCACAAAACCCTGGACCACACACTACCACCACCACACTGGCTCACTGCACACAGCTGGTTTCTCTCAGTATCATAATGACTGAAAATCAGGCAATGCTAAATGGAAATGGAGAGGACAGCGTGTACTGGAGGCAGCGGGAGAGCCAGACGTCCTCTCCTCACAAGAGACGCAGCACTACTGACAGTCTAGGCCAGAGTTCATCTCACCTGCCTTGTATGCAACCACGGATGTCAACACCTTAAGTTTAGCCTCAAATAGCCACTGAATGCTCTCGTCTTGCTCTATAACGCAACCTTCTACGTACGTAATTAGAATGTTTAGAAAACTACGTTAAAATACAATGGTTAGACAGACCACTTGTAACGTTGAATATCGAACACAGTTCTGAATAAGGCTCTTGTTTTCTTTGGAAACGAAAATTCCCAGTATGTATTGAAAATGAAAGGCAATCATGATTACCAATAAAGGAACTAATCATAAGGCGACGGGATAGTCTCCTCATAGTGAACAATCTTTGCTGATCATGCAACTAGCACACGAAATATAGTTATAAACACTAGGTGGCACCTTTTGATACACCTGAGCTGGCTTGCCACATCTTGGTGTTGCAGAGACTGCTGGGAGCACAGAGAACGAAATGTGGCACCAGCGGCAGGAAAAGCGAGCTTGCAAGCAGGTTGTTGCAAAGCTACTAGTGTGGTACTCTCCTGATAGACCCCAGAACCGCCTTTCTTGCCGAGGTTGTTGCAGGGTATTTTACTCTGACGGACCCCAGAATGTTTCTTGCAGAGTTTGTTGCAAAGTAATGAGTGTCGTACTCTCTTGACGGACCCCAGAACCACCTTTCTTGCAAAGCAACTAGAGTCTTACTCTTCTAACAGACCACAGAACCACCTTTCTTGCAGAGGCTCCGAATTTCCAGGAAGGTGAAGGTTGTTTCTCTTTTCCAACGCCACGCCCCTTGAAACGTATAAGTTGTACGCCCCTTGCAAAACGTAGCCTGCACGCTCCTTGCATGATATGGCCTGCACGCCCTTTGCAAGATGTGGCCTGCGCGCCCCTCTGCAAGATATGGCCTGCACGCCCCTTGCAAAATGTAGCCTGCACGTTCATTACATGATATGGCCTGCACGCCCCTTACAAGATGTGGGCTACACAATGTACACAGACGTACATCCACGCACACACACACACACACACACACACACACACACACACACACACACACACACACACACACACACACACACACAAGAAACATAGTGGTCTCTATTGTTTTAAGTGGGACTGAGAACACACGTTATGGGTACACTTGGGAGGCCTTTTGCCACTGATTAACTGCAGTGGTGACCTTCCCAGTGCTTAACTGTGGTATTGGTGACCTTAACCACTGCTTAACTGGAGATGTGGTGGTGGTGGTGTTGGTGACCTTACCACTGCTTAACTGGAGATGTGGTGGTGACCTTACCACTACGTAAATGTAGTGTCTTTAGTTTCACTAAGAGCCAGTCTCTCTCTCTCTCTATCCCTCCATACAAACACTGGTGTGTGTCATAATACACTACTAACCTTCCTCACCCAGGAAACAAAAACAAATAACACCCTAATGTTGTCTTGTTTTCCCCGTTTTTTTTTTCCATATTTTGTCTTGGCAAATACAACATATTCTAACAATGTCTTGTTTTAATCGTTCTCAAGTTCTGTTTCCTTGGCAAATAAACCATTTAAATACTGTCTTGTTTTCCTCATTCTCATTTCTATTTGCTTGGTAAATAAACCATTGAAATATTGTCTTGTTTTCTTCGTTTTCGTCTTCGTAATGTTCTTTTGTTTTCTTCGTAAACACAATACATCCTCATATTCTTTTGTTTTTTCTCCTTTTCTCACCCCCTTTTAAAACAGGCGAAACTGCAGACCTAGAGAACTTTCACTGCACGTATAAATCAAGCAATGTGCCTATATTACTGAGAAGGTTTGAAGTTCCTTGACCTGTATTATTTGAAATAACAGACAAGATATATTTACTCCAGGAAAATCCTAGAAGGGTTGGTCCCAAATCTGCACAAAAAAATCACGTCCCACGAAAGCAAGAGGCTCGGCAAACGATGTAAAATATCCCTAATAAAAAAAGGGGGTGCCATGAATACACGAGAGACACCACAATACGTGTAAGAGGCCCGGGACTATTCATCAGCCTCGCTTCGTACGATGGAGGGGGTGATTGACAACAGACTCTTGGTTGTCTTCGAGAGGGAACTGGATAAGCGTTTCAAGTCAGTTGATGATCAGCCAGGCTGTGGTTTGCAAGCTGGATTGCGTGCGACCGTCAGCAATAGACTAATTCATCAGGTGAGGATCCTCCAGGAGGGTTGGTCTAGGACCGGGCAGCAAGAACCTTGACCCTCTAAATCATCATACAGGTATCCTTTAGCTTTTCTTCATAATCTTCTGTTTTCTTGTTGCAATATTAAGGTGAGACGAACGGACGGTAGGAGCTGGGCGGGCGTGGGTGCCTGACAGGCGTGGGTGCCAGTGGGTACCTGACAGGCGTGGGTGCCAGTGGGTACCTGACAGGCGTGGGTGCCAGTGGGTACCTGACAGGCTGGGGTGCCGTGGGTACCTGACAGGCCCTGGGTGCCCGTGGGTACCTGACAGGCGTGGGTTTCCAGTGGGTACCGACAGGCATGGGTGCCAGTGGGTAACTCACAGGCGTGGGTGCCAGTGGGTACCTGACAGGCGTGGGTGCCAGTGGGTACCTGACAGGCGTGGGTGCCAGTGGGTGCCTGACAGGCGTGGGTGCCAGTGGGTACCTGACAGGCGTGGGTGCCAGTGGGTACCTGACAGGCGTGGGTGCCAGTGGGTAACTCACAGGCTGTGGTGCCGGGGTACCTGACAGGTGTGGGTGCCAGTGGGTACCTGACAGGCGTGGGTGCCAGTGGGTAACTCACAGGCGTGGGTGCCAGTGGGTACCAGACAGACGTGGGTGCCAGTGGGTAACTCACAGGCGTGGGTGCCAGTGGGTACCTGACAGGCGTGGGTGCCAGTGGGTACCTGACAGGCGTGGGTACCAGTGGGTAACTCACAGGCGTGGGTGCCAGTGGGTACCTGACAGGTGTGGGTGCCAGTGGGTAACTCACAGGCGAGGGTGCCAGTGGGTACCAGACAGACGTGGGTGCCAGTGGGTAACTCACAGGCGTGGGTGCCAGTGGGTACCTGACAGGCGTGGGTGCCAGTGGGTACCTGACAGGCGTGGGTGTCAGTGGGTAACTCACAGGCGTGGGTGCCAGTGGGTACCTGACAGGTGTGGGTGCCAGTGGGTAACTCACAGGCGAGGGTGCCAGTGGGTACCAGACAGACGTGGGTGCCAGTGGGTACCTGACAGGTGTGGGTGCCAGTGGGTAACTCACAGGCGTGGGTGCCAGTGGGCAACTCACAGACGAGAGTGCCAGTGGGTACCAGACAGGCCTGGGTGCCAGTGGGTACCTGACAGGCGTGGATGCCAGTGGGTACCTGGCAGGCGTGAGTGCCGTGGGTACCTGACAGGAGTGGGTGCCAGTGGGTACCTGACAGGTGTGGATGCCAGTGGGTACCTGGCAGGCGTGAATGCCGTGGGTACCTGACAGGCGTGGGTGCCAGTGGGTACCTGACAGGCGTGGATGCCAGTGGGTACCTGACAGGCGTGGGTGCCAGTGGGTACCTGACAGGCGTGGGTGCCAGTGGGTACCTGACAGGCGTGGGTGCCAGTGGGTACCTGACAGGAGTGGGTGCCAGTGGGTACCTGACAGGCGTGGGTGCCAGTGGGTACCTGGCAGGCGTGAGTGCCGTGGGTACCTGACAGGAGTGGGTGCCAGTGGGTACCTGGCATGCGTGGGTGCCAGTGGGTACCTGGCAGGCGTGAGTGCCGTGGGTATCTGACAGGAGTGGGTGCCAGTGGGTACCTGGCAGGCGTGAGTGCCAGTGGGTACCTGGCAGGCGTGAGTGCCAGTGGGTACCTGGCAGGCGTGAGTGCCGTGGGTACCTGACAGGAGTGGATGCCAGTGGGTACCTGGCAGGCGTGGGTGCCTGTAATAGAGTCCCATGCTTGTATTTATCTCGTTTTGCAGAAACTCCCTCTTGAAACCATACCCCCGGCCGGGATTGAACCCGCGGTCATAGAGTCTCAAAACTCCAGCCCGTCGCGTTAGCCACTAGACCAGCTAGCCACAATAAGATTCATCCAACTAGGTATATTTCTACACCATAGGAAGGTTAGCACAGGCACCTCTGTGACCACAAATGCAAGTTTTTACAGACGAATCTCCAGCTAGCGTGGCCGTGACGAACTCTAGCTCAAGTCCCTTCACTGCCGTCAACATGACTCAAGAAATCGTAATGACACGATTGCAAACAAACCATACCCCCGGCCGGGATTGAACCCGCGGTCATAGAGTCTCAAAACTCCAGCCCGTCGCGTTAGCCACTAGACCAGCTAGCCACAATAAGATTCATCCAACTAGGTATATTTCTACACCATAGGAAGGTTAGCACAGGCACCACTGTGACCACAAATGCAAGTTTTTACAGACGGGTTCAATCCCGGCCGGGGGTATGGTTTGTTTGCAATCGTGTCATTACGATTTCTTGAGTCATGTCAACTCCTTCTTGTTTTGTTCACGGGGAAACGCTAAACCAGAAGGGGTCATATACACCGTCAACCACTTTCTGGTTCAGTGCCGTGCAGGGGTGTACGTGTAAACCTGGTGGAGGTTACTGGAGTTACCGTATTTCCAGCATATAAGGCGCGTTTTTTCCCCTAGTCTTGGAAAATCAGCCGGCGCCTTATATGCTCAAGGTCAGGGTCAAGGGTAGGCTCTGAGTAAAGCTTTAGCAGTTGTTTACTAACGTCACAAGTGCTGGGAAACATCGTCTTATATGCCGGAATATACGGTGTTACACAATGTGTAGTCAGGTGGCAAGTAGATGAATAAAACACATGTGCAACACATGAACATCTTAACGCCTTCCACCGTCTTCAACAGATTCATCAAGGCTGAGGGACTGATCACCTCAAACTACTATTTCATGTCGTCCACCGTCTCCAGTTTTATTCTCTGTATTCAATTAATAAAATCGCTAATTGGCACAAAAAGCAAAATAATACCTCCAACTTATTCTATGTTAACACGAGCTTAAAAAAAAAAAACTTACATGT